CCAGCCTGCCATGCCCATTTATCTGGCCTGCCTGAGGTTTTGGACACGCCGTGTGCATGCCTGCCCCCGCCCGGCCGTGCACGCAGGGAGGCGGTGACTTGCTCACGTGGAGATTGATTGGACTCACTCGGAGAAAACGATCTCCAAGCGAGCAAGCCGCTGCCTCACCTCGCCTCGCCTGTGCGCCCCGCCCCTACCCCCTCATCCGCCTGGGCGCGCCGCCGGCACCACCTTGCCGGCCCATGCCCACCACCAGCACCTTTCAACTGGCCCCCTGTTGAAAAAGTTTGAGGACCCCTGCTGCACACTCAAGTAGGCATACTCGCACAACAGAAGCCTGACACCCGCTTTTTAGAAATGCAATTTGAGCAGTGGTTGCTTTGAAGAGGGGTGGCAACTCTGCTGTTTGCTTGCTTGCCCCTTCTCTGCTCCAGATCCCCCCAACTCCAGCTGCTTCCTCCACCCAATGCAGTCTTGCCTTCTGTGGAACCTGGTGGAGAGCAGAAGGGTGTTTTTTTTTTTTTGTGGGGGGGGGCAATTTAGAACAAAGAAGAATCAGGCAAGCATACTTCCCCACATTTGCAAATTTCTACTGCAAACCCCCCCCCCCACACACACACATCCCAAAGTAGCTTTTCCAGAGGAAAAATCACATGTGCATGCATGTGACATATAGTTCTTCCAGCAGGGCTTTGATCTAATAAAATGTTCACACAAGTTTGATGGACTCTGTGAATGTGTATGTGAGAGTTAATGTGCCGGGCTGTACAAGGTGGGAAATAGTTTAGGCTTGTATCCCTTGTCTGGAAGTGGGGCATTTATGTGGCAGTTTTTCATGTAGTTCAGATCTAGCAAAAGGAGCAGAAAAGGGGAGGCCTTGAGCTGGGGATATTTCTGAGGTGGAAGAATTTGTATGTCATGTAGGCTTGGGAGGTTTTATGCCACAGTGGTGTCCAAGAATTGCTGTGCTTTATATTCTTCATGGGGTTTGCTGTTCAAAGCCTTTCTCATTTCCTAGCCCTGTCGCCCCACCAGTCTGCTGTGTGGTGGGTTACTACATATCCTGCTGAGAGGGTGGAAGGCATAGCAGCAGCCCTTGTCTTCCTTCCACCAAACCAGCAGGATAGCAGTGAAAGTGCGCAAGAGCTCCCTTAAGGCTGATGCCCCCAGGGATAGACAGGGGGGAGTAAGAGGGGGCCTATTTCCCAGGCGACATGGCCTGTGGGCCTGTGCTGGTTACTGTGGTGATAGGGAATCGTGTTGCTTGGTAACACATCTTGTTGCTCTCGCCGTCTGCCTCTCCCTCCCTTTCTCTTCCCAGAACATCGATGTAGATGTAGTCGCCTTAGTGAATGACACTGTAGGAACCATGATGGCGTGTGCCTATGCTGACCCCAAGTGTGAGGTTGGCCTCATTGTTGGTAAGGAGTGGGCTGCTGCTTTATTATTTATTTCAGGAAGTTATTAAGTCAAATTCCCAGGCCAGCTGAGGGCAGGGAAGTTGGAGCACTCTTGGGTAGTCAGTGAGTTTATACTTGTACATGTGATGTGGCCTTTATGAAATCCAGGAGGAAGTCTTCTCAAGGGCAGATGTCCTTCCTTATTCTGTTTGAGTCTTTGACTTCCTTTTGTGATTCATGGCCAGAGGCTGGGCTGTGCCAGGGCACTGCCCCTGACCGGCAAATCTTTTACTGTAAGGTGGCTTTTGGAATGGAAATGCAACTGAGCTGAAGCCTGGAGGTTCTTCCTCCAGCCTTGGCCCCAAGAGTTTCCTCAGGGTGCAAAAGAATAGGCTGGCCCCTTCTGAACACTGACGCATGTCCATCTCGTACTCTGTTTCAGGAACAGGTTCCAATGCTTGCTACATGGAGGAGATGAGGAACGTGGAAACTGTGGAGGGTGATGAGGGTAGAATGTGCATCAATATGGAATGGGGAGCATTTGGAGATGATGGTGTGATTGACCACTACATAACATCTTTCGATAATCGTGTAGACAAAGAGTCCCTTAATGCTGGCCAGCAGAGGTGAGTCTGGATAACCACTGACGGGAGCGGTTAGCAGCTGTGGAGATGGCTGCCTCCAGAGTCTGCCTGTATGGTACTCATCCTCATCCCCTCCACAGGTATGAGAAACTGATCAGTGGGATGTACCTGGGTGAGATAGTGCGCTACATTCTGCTGGAACTAGTATCCCACAAGGCCGTCTTCAAGGGCAAAGACTCATCTGTACTGCAGACCAAAAACATCATCCCCACCAAATTCCTGACACAGATTGAGGAGTAAGTCTATATTCCTTGGAATCCTGTCCTTTCATGTAGACTCGATTCTGGTGCAGAAGCCATAGTCTGCAGAGGGTCCACTTAGGGCCTTGTTTGGAAAGGACTACATTGTACAAGGGGCAGCCTCTCTCTGTGTTTCTAGAGGAGGTCCATTCCTCCTAGTTGGGCTAATATTATAAATTCCATCTTGCCAAGTCTTACATCTCTCTCTTTCAAAAAACTACTCCCAGATTCTAAACACTGCAAGTATACATACTGAGCAAATTTAAGGAAAATAGGCAACTTTGCATACATTCTGTGTTTTGGGGGATTTTAATAATTTATTTTGAGTGTTTATCATGCAGAATCTGGATTATTTTTATTTTATATGTGCAAACTGACATTAGTTATAGCTGATCACACAGACCCCTGCGTTCTTTCAGGATGTGTGCCTAAGAGAGAGGCAGCCTTTTTGATTAGAATAGCATAGAAGCCAAAGCCTCATATGTTCACTTACCATAAAGCCTAAGAAGGTCCAAGATTCCACCACTTATTTTAATGTTCTGAAAACAGAAGTCAAAGCCTGTATAACATACGTGACATCTTGGAGGATATTGGCCTAAAAATATCCCTCGAGGATGCAGAGGTGGTGAAGGAAGTGTGCCATGCTGTGACTTCACGAGCTGCTAAGCTGTGTGCAGCTGGAATAGCTGCAGTTGTGGAGAAGATCCGAGAGAACAAGCACATGACAAAGCTGGAAGTGACCGTTGGTGTAGATGGGACGCTGTACAAGATGCACCCTTTGTGAGTTGCTTTTTCTGCATCAGATTGTGGGTCAAGTGATGCTTCAACTAAATACACTGTTCAGAGGACAAAGGGAACCTAGGTTTCCCACTGCATGGCATAGCCAGGATGGGCAGAGATGACCAGAACAGTATTTTGGTGCAACTCAGCAAGGACTATTCTATGCAAGGCTAGAGGGCCCTCATGCTTGGAAATACTGTGATAAAGGGTGGCTATTGCTAAACTGCTGTATAATCTCTGGGCACCATGTCCTTGGGGGCTCACAGTACCAACATATCATTAAAAGGAAGATTTCCCCTATTTTGAAGGAAAGAGGAATAAACTTCAAGAACTTGGACTCCAGGAAGCACACAACCTGGATGTTCTGTTGCTGCCAGGGGTGGGTGCAATTCTGGGCTGAACATGGGCTTCTCTTGCTCACAGGTTTGTCCCTTTCTCTTCCCAGCTTTTCCAAAAAACTTCATGAAACAGTTGCACTGTTGGCTCCAAACTGTAATGTCAAATTCTTGCTGTCAGAGGATGGCTCAGGGAAGGGAGCAGCACTGATTGCTGCTGTGGCCTGTCATACAAAGGCTCCCCAGTAAGGAAGACACTGGATCATTCTTTACCAGACCCGGCCCTTCATCAGCACCATGGAGTTTCACCCTTCTTTAAGGCAGCTGAGCAAAGTTGCAGGAGAGACAAGTTGGGGTAGTTGTGATGTGTCATCTTTGCAGCTCTGTTTGACAGCTCTGACTGATGTTCAAGCAAGGGGGAAGAAATAAACCACATTCTTGCAGCCACTTGGATTTTCTAGCTCCTCTTTTCCCAAAGAGTCAAGCTCCAAGGTATCTCTGACTTGGGGGTCTGAAATGGAGGTGCCTAGGTGTTATTTCCACACCACACTTGGGGCTTTCAGGAGAGCTCTGCTGCGCCCTTGGTCTCTGCGAAAGGGCCCTGTTTGGTTGTCCCCAGATCTGGTGATCCGTGTTAGTACAGACACAAGAAGCTCCGTGTAGCAATATATATATATAATTTATTTACATTCATGCCCGCCAAAACGCTGTGCGGGATGCTTGTATGTACATAAGGCCAAGTGTAAATACTTGAATGCACTTGAATACAGAATTAAAAAACGATCTTTACACAATACGGCACGGACCTGTCTGGTCCAGCACACGTTCACTGCACAGATTTGACTGCCACGCACACGCACAATTCCCTTTGCATATACACTGGGTGAGGACTAAGGAGGCACAGATCCAGCCATCCAGCACAGCATGGCCCTCAGTCCCGGGCTGCCCTCTGCCTCTATCTCCTGTCCCTCCCTTGTCCCCTTGGGGTTCCCAGTGTCTGCAAACCGCCAACCCCTGGGCTTCCCTCTGTGACTGAGTCTTAGGCATCTCTTGGGCTGGAGCAGAAATATACTGAGATGGCTCTGGAAATATCCTGAGCAATCCCCCCCTCCACCATAGCACAGCATGAGGCTTCCTGGGGCTGTGGTGGGATGGGCCCCATCGACTCAACTCCAAGCTTACCTGTTCATCCTGGACACTCACAATAAGTGCTAGGCTAGCCATCCTCCTTCCCCTTTCTTCCCGTGCTAGGGTGGAAGAGGGCCCTGGGCACGTGACCAAGCCAGGTGTTAGCAGATCAGAATCCATGGCCAGCCTACTCCAGAAGAAGAGACGGGCCTCCCTCAGCCAGCCCTGGAGCTGCCTCGGTAGTGGCAGGGCAGGCCTTCAGTCACCATTTCCATGGCTACTGGAGACTGAGGCCAGTGTGCTTGCCTTCTGGCTGTATTTGGCACAAGGAACAGAGGGCATGAGGCCAGCATGCCTCAGGAGGGGCACACAGGCATAGTCAAAGCAGGAGAGGTGTGGGAGCACGGCCCCCTTCAAATGGAGATGCCCCCTGTCATCCCCCAGAGGAGGCCTGTGCTACCCCCTCCAAGGGCCTTAGCACTCAGCCTCGGAAACCATGAAGAGAGAGCTGTCCTGCTTGCCCACCTCAGCCACAGCAGCAGCCAGCTGGTTGAGGTTCCCGTTGGGGAAGTGGCGTGCCTCCCATAAGTTCAAGATCATGGCCGTTGGGCTGGGTTTTGAAGCAAAGAAGCTGAGATGGCTGTGGAAAGAGGGGAGGCAGTCACAATCCAGATCCCAGTAACACTCTCATCCCCTGCCTTGCCCCCAGTATGGCTCAGGAGAAAGTGTGGCCACAGCTGGGCGTGCCTTGCCCCTTCGTGCCGAAGACCCACTTCACGCCCATAGCCCAGACTCTGCTCCTGCTCTGCCAGATCCCCAGACCCGTTATGTGTGCTAGCTGTAGCCTGTGCTTCTCGGCACAGTGCTGTACCGAGGATGCCTTTACCTGTCAAGGTGTAGCTTTTGGGCTAATGCTCTCCAGTCAGCTCCACGGGTCCCTGGTGCATCCAGGCTGCTTATGATCTTCTGGCGGATAAGGAAGGGGATCTTAAAGGCACTGGGGCCCACCAGGGCAGGGGAACCAGCCTCGTTGTCTGGGGGCAGCCAGTCTGAGAAGCGTGCATCCTGGAAAGAGGAGAGCAGCTATGGGGCTGGCCGAGCAAATGCAGTCTTCGTAGTGGGAGCTCTGGGGTACGATCAGGAGCTGAAGGAGAGGGTTCCTGGGGTGACGAGGGTGCTTCTACTTTTTATTCAACTCCATTTGATGCTTTTATGTTTTGCGGGGGGAGGCCTTTAACACAATGAGCTTTCCTTCCAGATATTCCCCCAGAGGGCTTGGATAGGTTTGGAAAAGAGGATGATACCCAAGATCGCACATAATATAACCTGCTCATTTGGGAAAAGTAGAATGGGAAGGTTTGTGCTGTGGGGAAAAGGTGTCCTTTGGTGAGGTAAAGGACACTGATGGGCAAGCTGGGTGCGCCTGGCACACACAAATGCCCTGTACTAAGAGAAATGGGATTCTGCAGCTTCTACAGATCAAGCGAACTGAGCATAATTATTCTTTGGCCATTATTCTGGTTTCTGAGATTTCAGCATGTATTGGCTACGTGCTGTCAAAAGTACCTGAACGGCATAAGAATTAGAAACTTACTTTTATTGGAGAAAAAAATCAGGATTTTGCACCCTGTATAACAGGTACCTCAGGCCCTTGTGGGAAACTCTGGTTTAAACAAACCAGGGACTTTTTGCTAAATCCAGCATGTGAGGGAAGGAGGCATGAATAAAAGATATATAGGTCAGGTTCACTTCCTGGTTCATAAACCATGGTTTATAAAGCCAGGAATGTTATGTTCAAACTCTCCCATTCTCAAGATGCAGAGAAGTGCAGCCCACACTGTTAGACTGGCAAGGAAACAAGTGAAAGGGACTTTTTATATAGCAAGGAAAAGCCTCTTGACCCTCTGCTCTTGAGTCTGTTCAAGAGTGACTCCATGCAATGGCAACCAATACACTAGCTGCAAAGACATATAATGTTCTTGAAATCTGCTCAAAAGTTAGAAGCATCCCAGCCTAATATGCTTGAGCTCGACTGCCAGAAAAGACCATTTTTCCCCAAAGTGGCACCCTGCAGATGCATGGACTCCAGCTTCCATCATCCCCGGGCATTATGGCCAAATGGGTAGCATTTAAGTCATCTTGCCAGCCCTTCTTTACTGTGTCGTGTCCTAGTCCTCACCTTGGCTATGTTGAAGTCAATATTGAAGCTCTGCCCATCACCCTCCACCTGCCAGATCCAGATTTTGCAGGCCAGCTGGCAAGTGCTTGTGCTGAGTCGCTCCAACGTGAAGGTGCAGTGCAGGTAGGGCTGCAGCCCGCTCCAGAGGTGGTAGAAGGGAATCTCCTGGGAAGAGAGAGGGCAAGCTGAGGCGGGGGCCCGTTGCCTCCCTAAAGGCAGATGAAGGAGGAGATTTTTGAAGGAGAACAAGGCCCAACAAGTAAGCAGGCGCAAGGAGAGTCAGTACTATCTGCCCCCAAAGAAGGATATCACTACAGACAGGGAAGTTGGTAGCTGAGAAGGGCATAGCAGCTCTCAAGCGGGGCATTCTTGGGTTTGAGTTGTGTGTGTGCTGGGACAGGAGGTCCCATTCAAACTCTAAATTCTAGTAAACAGGAGAAAATGAAGGAGTTATGTAGAATGGTGGCTGGTCAGCCAGAGTGCACACAATCTTGTCTCGGAGGAAGATCACACCCAGAGATAATGGGCACACTTGCCTGATAGCTGACAAGGAGCTTGCTCTTCCACAGTGAGCTGGGCACATCATGAATGGAGAGGCGCAGGTTGTGGTAACTGTCTTTGAAGTGTAGGATCCGTGGTGCACCAATCAGCTGGCCTCCCATCTGCTTCTCTACTTGCACCACTTCCTGTGATGGCAAGAGCACAGGGAGTCAGCGTGGGGAGGCAAGGCTGAGTTTCTAGGACACATTTCCCAGTGGCCACCCCCCACTACTCTCTTTACGGTTGCCAAGCTATCATACCACTGTGGCGGTACAGGGGTGCAGTGACTGGGCCAGGCACTCATTCTCAGCCAACTTCCCAAGAGTCTGTGTTACTGGATTCTGAAGGGTTCCAGAACAGTGGAAGAGGCAATGGGAGAGAAGGGGGATCAAAGGGGGCAGGTGTCTTTGAAGCTCCATCAAGGCCATTATCCGCAGTTTCCCAGCCCAACTGTGAGAGCAGACATGTTTTGGAAGAGACGAGAGGGGACTCAGAAGAGGAGGTAAAGCGGTTGATTTGCCTGGTCCCTGACCCCATCAAAGAGACAAACTACCCAGTCAGAGGGCTTGCATAGGTCTTGCCAGCCAGCTCTCCACCAGTGGGAGCCACCCTGAGGGAAGGGTGCAAATGAAAGGATTAGGAAGAAGTTTCCAGTGTGGTTTCAACTCTCACTCTTTACATGAGCAGAGGCTGTTGTTCTGCTTGCTTGGGGGCTTTTAAAGTTGCACTCTCTTGTTAGCTGTGAGTGCCAATAAAGAGTTGCATTGTAAAGGAATGTCTGGTGGTTTGGAGCTGAGGTCAAGAAGGGAAAGGTTGGGCTCACAGCAGTGGGACTGGCCTGTCTTGAGCCAAAATTTCTGGGTGCAGGAGAAGACACAGAGAGCCTTGGCAAGGAAGGCAAGAGGACTATGTAATGTGAGTTTAGTCAATGACTGCAGTGCAGGATAGTTGTTGCAAGAGGCAGCATGTTGTGTACATGGTCAGTGGCTGAAGTGGTGTATGCACACAGCCTTTAGCTCAGCATCAAAGCTGAAAAACAGTAATTCAGCCATCAATGCTCTTCAGAAAATAATAGGTTACTGAAACTGAAGAGCTCTTAGGTGTGACACTTATGGAAGAAAGGCCAGTTTGTAGGTGTGTTTTCAGGGAACTGTGTGGTAAAGCTGTTGGAGTTTGGACTAGGGTTGAAGAGGCCTGGGTTCCAGTTGCTACTTTGCCACAAAGCTCACTGGGAGATTGTGGGCCAGCCACTTACACTTGGCTTACCCTGTTTCACAGGGTTCTTGTGCCATGCACACGTCTCTCCCCTTTTCTATTTCCAGCAGATCTAAACAGAAGACTTTTAAAATGCAGTGTTTTATTGGAACTAAGCAGGGGTTTGGGGTATCATACGAAGGGTGTTGTTAAGTAACTTTAATCAAAGTAACATTCCCTCCACTTTGTGGGAACAGCTCTTGCCCATGTGGAGAATTGATTGCCAACTGCAAACCCCCTCCTCCCTCCCCTTCCTGAAAGGCTTGACTCTGTCTTCAGGGAGGTTCACACTGTTTGTGGGCCAGAAGGCAGGACTGCCAGGCATCACATAATTGGGACACTCATTTGGCTTGATGCCAGCTCACTAGGTTAATGAATTCACACCCCTCCTCCTCAGACCCTCCCTGTTCTGCAGTGACTCCCCCTGAACCTGAGGCGGTTTTGTTCTCAGCAGCTGTGTGACAAATCTTGCTTGCTATCTTTGACATTTACATGCCACATTCCAAATCCTCTCCTCCTCCATCTAGTTCCCATTCTGAGTCTTTCTAACTGGGAATGCTGTATCTTGAGAGCAATGGGTCCCGCCTCTACATATTGTGAGGAACCAGTTTGATGCTTTGAACTCCTTGGAGGAAATACAGGTTCTAAATTCAACAAATAAAATTATATTTGAGGCTGCTTTTAAGGGTAAAACCGTTTCATGGCCTCTCCGCTATAGTACCTTGAGTGCATCGCGGGTGTCACTGAGGCAATACACACGGACGTCATATTCCAACCCTGTACAAGTTGCCGGTGCAAAGAGAACCAGTTTGAGGCGCTTGGAAGCAGCCATGCTGAGCGACTCCCCCACCAGAGCAAAACGGCCCAGCTGCTCAGTGAAGATGTAGCAAGACTGGGGTTCCAGCTGGCAGTGGTAGAGTTCTGAGGGGGCCGGCTCACCCAGGTGCAGCACATCCTGAGGGGATGGAAAAGGGGAGAAAGATCACCTGAGTCAGTGCCTACAGGTACAGTGAGAGGACTAGTGTGACAAGGCAGAGCTGACAAAGGAGCAGACGGCCCAAACTGACAAGATATGGAGCCAGCATGGATGACTGAGGTAAGCACAGGATTGGCAGAAGCAGGATGCTGGTTGAGATGACAAAAGGTGGCACAGAATGAGATTGGACTAGCGTGGATGGTGGGCTACAGAATCAGGGAGGCAGCACAGGGCCTGGGAGAACAGGATACCTGCTGTTCCCTAGTTGTGCCCAGTAAAGTCTGCACGGCTTCCAATTTGGTCAAGGGCCCAGAATGTATTAAAGTATTCAGCGTAGGGAGCAGACCAGAATCTCCCCCTCTCAGGACCTAAAAGTACTTGTGCTGGGGAGCACAAAACCCATTCTGTTCCATTAAAGCTATAATAAAGTGTGTATATTCTCCATTTCTGCAAAATTGTGGAGAAAGCATATAGTATATGGTACTGGAGACAGAATCCAGCTTTCTAAAAAAAAAAACCCCAAATTTTGGCTTGTTGGTATGCAAGGTGGTCTGAAAGAATCTATCCAATGCTTAGTGAAGCTGGAGGGATGGCCAGACAAGATTTCCAGTGATTCCTGGAGTTGAGATTTTGGTGCCATGCCTGCTTGCTTGCTTGTATATGACAGTATATGAAATGCCTTATCTGGGGTTCCCAGTGAGATGTACTATTTCAGTAAATAAAAAGACCTGTAAAACCTAACATCACAAAACAACTCGAACATTGAACTAGAAGACAAATCACCAAAATCAAAACACAAAGAGCTAAAGAACTCATAATGCAAAACATGTCAATCATCCTTAGAGCAGAGAATCAAAAGTACAGATTCCATCTAGATTGGACACCACAGTGTCTTTTCAACAAGGGCTTGGCTGAGTTGGCTAACTGTAATATAAGTAATGTTTCTCTAACCCATATGTTCTGGCAACACCCAACAGCTGCCTCCCTTTTGGGACGAGGTTGTGATATGAATAAATTCTGTGCTGGAACACTTTTTAATATCTACAGATATGTATCCTCTCTTTAATTATTTGCCAGTTTCTCGCAACTTAACACAAGGTCAGTGTCAATGGATTTTCTGCACCCTTTGGACAGCCCAAAAGGCTGATACTACGACACCGGAAGGATATATGGCCACCCTAATAACTCAAGTGGGGCAAGGACTTAATGACATTTTACCTTTCAAACAGGTTGTATTTAGACATCATCTATACTTGGACAATATAGAGATATGGTTCATCTTTACTTAAACTCACTGCATAACTATTCACATTGATAGGAGTACATATTTTTGTACATATATAAACTATACTAGCATACACATCACATGCCTTTACTGTGACTGAGAATATTCACACTTTTTGTAATGAAATCTGTAAGGTTTTTAAAATGTCATTTAATTTCATTTTTCTCCTGTCCTCCCCAGGTTTTAGATTTTGTTATAGCTTTCTAAAACTATGTATAGAGAATCAAATAGTATCACTGAAAAGTTATTAACATGACACTTTAAAAGCCTGAGGGCATTAAGTCTTCACCTGGTGTCAAAAGCTGTTAATGTGGGCACCAGCAGATCCTCTGTAGGGGGTGTATTCCACAAAAGAGGGGGCACTGCACAGATGGCCCCCTGCTTTGTGGCCACCCTCAGTGCAGGATGCCCACGGATAACTGGCATGCTCAGGCTTCTTGTCCTTCTCAGAACTAGCAGAAACAGAACATACGACACGAGGCCAGGCAAGGCAAAACAGGAACATCTGCTTGCCTGGCATAATGTTTACAGGCTGCACAATGGGGGAGACCCGGGCACAACTGTTGGTTTTCTTCTTCCTCCATGCAGGTATCCTGCAACTGCCCATGGCTTAACACTTACCTCCCAAGTGCCCTCACAAGACTGCTTCTTGAGTCGGAGACTCCAGGTTTCGGGGTTTGGCTCCACACAGTGGTCCATGGCCAGGATGACAGGCCTGGTGAGCAGCACCCCTGGAGGGCCACAGCTGACAATGGGACTCAGCAGAGTCTGGCAGCCAGCCAAGGGCAGCCTGAATATGAGAGAAGCATGAATTGGGCAGAGAAGGGGCATAAAAAGGCCAGGAATGGTCAGGCATCGCTATTGGGATCCGCTGCTTTGCCCTGGCTAACACTCGCAGGGGCCCAAGGATCAAACATCATTTGCATCCCCACCACTACAGGTGGCAAGTAAAGTGGGGCTGAGAGTGGTGCGTCTTACTAACAAACCAAACAGAGACACTTTGTAGGGCTTTGAGGCTAGAAGCTAATAAGCTTCTGCAAGCACATAAGAAACTGGCACTGATGTGGTAATTCCTGGCCATAGTGGAAGTGTCCTAGACATTATGGTTGCTACTATCAGGGAACTCTGCTTGGTGGAGACTCCAGAAATGGTTCCAAGAATATATCCTATACATACAAGTGATGTTGTTAAACATTCTTCTTCCAAAGGAAAACTGAGGGGGAAATAAATCTGGAATGGCTTAGTAGAGGAGTTCCTTATAGGATTACCAGTCAATAGTTCAGCTGAGCTGTTCCCCTTTGGGCAGACAGGCAAGGTCCTTTCTGGGTTGGAGGTCCCAGTAGCTTAGCTAACGAGACTGTTATCCTTGATACTGCAGGGCAGGCCAAGCCCAGTTTAGACACCCTAATCAAATCTACCATCTCAGTCCTCAGCCAGGACCAAAGGGATTCTTGATACTATATGTGCCATAACAGAAGCATGCTTTCTCCATTTGCTGTTGACACAGTCCTGAGCTGTGGGATGCCAGCAACAGCGGGTTGGGTAGGGCCAGGACAAAAACATTAAAAGCAGAGAAAAGCAGTTGACAGCCCCCTTTTTTTAGAGTGCAATAAAGCTGCTGCAGTGCAAATTGGCCTAGAAACGGCTTAGCGGTCTTTATTGATTATAAAGCCCAGCCCTGTGGGCATGATGTGGACATCTTTTCCACTGCTATGAGTAGTTTACTTTCACAATCTGTGTTCAGGTTTGCCTCTGTCCTTGTGAAGTGATAACTGAATCCTATTGTGTGAAATTAGCTTTGTTGATTTCAGGTGAGTGTGTGTCTGATAAAGAGTTTGTAGACTCCTCAGGGGGCAGCCTAGAGTTGTGCATCTTGAAGGTAGATAACATCCAGCAAGAGGAATCGTATGTGCCAAGACAAGGAAGGTATTTCCTTCCAAGATGAAGGGTGGGTAGAAAAAGGGTTGTGACTACAGTGACAGAAGACACTGTTACACTCGCAAGTCTTCAGCTACAGTCATTTCATGGTTGAGGAAATGTCTCCAGGTGAGTAGGGACAGATCACATATCAGTTTTTGGCAGAGACGTTCTAGGAGGTGTGAACTGGGTCAATTCTTGTCAAAAATCAACTGAAATGAATTTCTTATGTATCACTATGGTCAATGTGATGGGGACAGTGGGGTTTGTAGGGAGTGGAAGAGGTACCTCACATCCTCCTGCTTATGCAGTGTCAGGTAGATTTCATAGATCTTCCCTCGCGGAATGGCATCAGGTGGGATGAGCAAGCTGACACCTGAAAAGGACCATGATATTGTTGTTCAGGGGAATGTGACACACTCACTGTCTGGCCTTCTTGTGGGCCTAGGCTTGAAAGAACTATTCCATGTTCTTTCACGGGAACGGATTGTTAACAAAGGGACGCCCATCGGGCTGCTCAGCTGAGTGAGACAAAAAATGGGATACAGGAAATTTCCCCTTAAAGAGGATAGACTTGGCTCTTGGAGGGCATGGGATGTGGTTTATAGCTGATTCCCAAATCCGCTTCTTTATGGTCCAAAGAGCTTCCCTCTCCTGGATCTGTGAGCTTCAGTGATGGTCCAGAATGGAACTAAGGCATCTTCACATCACTCTACTTAGGCCACCCTCCCAAATCCCAGCCATGTTGCGTGCCTTCTTGCCAGCCTCACCTGTGTTGGGTATCATCAAACGTCCGCCCAGGAAGTTGAAGGTTCCATATGCCATGTTGGCACCCCCTCTGGGCAAGGAGCGGAAGAAACTCTGGGTAGAGAATCGTGAGACAAAGTCCACAGGATCAGCACTGGGGGAACTGTGGTGCAGAGTGTGGCGGCCACTGCCCAGCGGGCTCAGCAGGTGCCCGTTGCCAATTTGGAACTTGCTGGGTCCTTCCTGGCGTGAGCAAAGCGAGCCCTGGTAGGTCATGGTGGTGGTGCTCAGATCAGGCTGGATAGTGAGTAAGTGGGAGTTATCTGTGTATGGAGCGGGAGGGGAGAGAAGATATCGATAATGGGATGAGCATGGCTGGTAAAACAACACCTGGAGGAACAACACCTGGCAGGAGACCGCGCCCGCGCCCGAGAACCACACCGCGCCCAAAGACCGCGCCGCGCACGCGCCCGAAGACCGCGTGAAGACTGCGCCGCGCCGCCGGCTCCGCCGCTACTTGACTGCCCTGCCACGCCCCTGCACACGTGGCAGGTGTGCCCGGACGGGGTGGGGCGTCGGGTGGCCGGCGGCTATAAAGCGCTGCAGGGGGGAGCGCCGGCGGGAGGAACAACACCTGGCAGGAGACCGCGCCCGCTCCCGAGAACCACACCGCGCCCAAAGACCGCGCCGCGCACGCGCCCAAAGACCGCGTGAAGACTGCGCCGCGCCGCCGGCTCCACCGCTACCTGACTGCCCTGCCACGCCCCTGCACACGTGGCAGGTGTGCCCGGACGGGGTGGGGCGTCAGGTGGCCGGCGGCTACAAAGTGCTGCAGGGGGGAGCGCCGGCAGGAGGAACAACACCTGGCAGGAGACCGCGCCCGCGCCCGAGAACCGCACCGCGCCCAAAGACCGCGCCGCGCACGCGCCCGAAGACCGCGCCGCGCACGCGCCCGAAGACCGCGCCGCGCACGCGCCCGAAGACCGCACGAAGACCGCGCCGCGCCGCCGACTCCGCCGCTACCTGACTGCCCTGCCACGCCCCTGCACACGTGGCAGGCGTGCCCGGACGGGGTGGGGCGTCGGGCGGCCGGCGGCTACAAAGCACCAGCAGCGGCCGGGGCCGGCGGCCAAAGGGCGTCGGCCAAAGGGCGGTTTGCCGCCGTTTGGGGGGGCTGTTCGGGGGGGGCTAGGCTGGCCAGGGGACTTGCTCTTTTGTTGTGGCAGTCCCTTCTGTTGAACGGCCAATTTTAAATGTTTTATAATTTTAAAGTGTTTTAACTTGTTTTTATGGAGTCGTCCCTGGCCATGTTGCCGCCTGAGTTTCCTGGGGAGCGCACTGGCGCCGCCATTGGTGTGGTGATGGGCAATGGACGTAATAGCGGTGGGGGCTTAACGTGTCCGCATAGAAGAAGGAGGGACAGATGGCTGACACCTGTCCCTACTTCTGGTTTTGCTCCCAGCCAGAAGGTGCCAGGGAGTCTTGTCAGTCGCCCCTCGGGCCTGACGGTGCTGTTGTTTAATGCCAGGTCGGCCAATAACAAATCTGCCCTCATCCATGACTTGATTGTGGATGAGGGGGCCGACCTGGCCTGTATAACGGAGACCTGGGCGGGAGAGGGGGGGGGGATGTTGCCCTCTCTCAATTGTGCCCGCCCGGGTATATGGTCCAGCACTGTTCACGGCCGGAGGGGAGGGGAGGGGGGGTCGCTTTGGTTTACCGGGCCTCCGTCACTCTCACGGGACTTCCTGTCCCTTCGAGACCAGGGCTGGAGTGTCTCTACTTGGTGTTGGGCGACCGAGACAGATTGGGGATTCTGTTGGTGTACCGTGCACCCTTCTGCCCAACAGTCTCCCTGCCTGAGCTGACGGAAACGGTCTCGGACCTGGTGTTGAGGACCCCCAGGATGCTGGTCCTGGGGGACTTCAATATCCATGCCGAGGCTAGTTTGACCGGGGCGGCTCAGGACTTCATGGCTTCCATGACGGCCATGGGGCTGTCTCAACATGTCACCGGCCCGACCCATGAACGTGGACACACTCTGGACCTGGTTTTCTCGACGGGGCAGGAAGAGGGTGGTCTGAGGGTGAGGAATTTATGCTTGACTCCCCTGTCATGGTCAGATCACTTCCTAGTGAGGTTTGTGCTCGAGAGCGACATCTCCCTCTGTAAGGGTGCAGACCCGATTGTGTGGGTCCGCCCCCGGAGCCGGATGGATCCGGAAGGATTCCTGAAGGCTCTGGGGGAGTTTCCGGCTGACAAGACGGGTGCTCCTGTCGAGGCTCTGGTTGAACTGTGGAATGGGGAGATGACCAGGGCTGTAGACACGATCGCTCCTAAGCGTCCTCTCCCACCGGGCAGAGCCCGCTCTTCCCCTTGGTACACTCCAGAATTGAGGGCAATGAAGCAGGTTGGGAGACGGCTAGAGCGTAGGTGGAGGAAATCACGTGATGAATCTGACCGAACACACTTAAGAGCCCACTATCGGGCCTATGCTGTGGCGGTGAGGGCGGCGAAAAAGAGACACTTCTCCGCTTCCATTGCCTCCTCACAATGCCGTCCGGCGGAGCTCTTTCGAGTGGTGCAAGGCCTGGTTCACCCAGGGCCAAAGGAAGAGCTGACTCCACCCTCAAAGGCCCGCTGTGACGACTTTGCCGAGCATTTTAGGGAGAAAATCGCTCAGATTCGTCACGAGCTGGATTCCACTATTGATTCAGAGGTTTTAAGGGAGACACCAACGCTGCCGTCTGGTCCAGAATTATTGGATGAATTTCAGTTATTGCGGCCCGATGATGTGGACAAGGTGCTTGGACGAGTACGTCCTACCACTTGCCTTCTGGACCCTTGCCCGTCTTGGTTAATAAAGGATTCCAAGCACGGGATTGGAACCTGGATCTTGGAAGTGGTTAACGCTTCTCTGAGGGAGGGTCGGGTGCCTGCCCCTTTAAAGGAGGCGGTAGTCCGACCGGTCCTGAAGAAGGCGTCACTGGATCCAGGGATGGCCGCTAACTATAGACCAGTGGCCAACATCCCGTTTCTGGGCAAGGTGTTAGAGCGAGTGGTGGCGGGACAACTCCAAGCACTCTTGGATGAAACTGATTATCTGGACCCATTTCAGTCCGGCTTCAGACCCGGGTACGGTACTGAATCTGCCTTGGTCGCCCTGTACGATGACCTGTGCAGGGAGAAGGACAGGGGGAGTGCGTCCCTGTTGGTTCTCCTGGACCTCTCAGCGGCTTTCGATACCATCGACCATGGTATCCTTCTGGATAGGCTGGCGGGATTGGGGGTCGGAGGCACCGCTTTGCGGTGGTTCCGCTCCTATCTCAACGACCGATTCCAGAAGGTGGTGTTGGGGGACTATGGCTCTGCGCCATGGCAGCTTTGCCATGGGGTACCGCAGGGTTCCATTTTGTCCCCTTTACTGTTCAATATCTACATGAAACCGCTGGGAGAGGTCATCAGGAGGTGTGGGCTGCGGACCCATCAGTATGCTGATGATACCCAGCTCTACCTCTCGTTTTCCACCAATCCAGGTGAGGCAGTGGCTGTACTGAACCGGTGCCTGGCCGAGGTAATGGGCTGGATGAGGGCCAATAAACTGAAGCTCAATCCAGACAAGACGGAGGTCCTGTTGGTTGGCGGTTCGGGCTTCAGAGAAGGTGACCTGAACCTTGTCCTGAATGGGGTTGCACTCCCTCCTAGGGACAAGGTCCGCAGCTTGGGAGTGCTCCTCGACCCGGAGCTTTCACTTGAAGCTCAGGTGACAACAGCGGCGAGGAGCGCTTTCCTCCAGCTTCGGCTGATTCATCAGCTGCGCCCCTACCTGGAGTACGACTGCCTTGCAACAGTGACTCATGCGCTGGTGACTTCCCGTCTTGACTTCTGTAACGCGCTCTACGTGGGGCTACCCTTGAAGACGGTCCGGATACTTCAATTGGTTCAGAATAGAGCTGCCAGGCTGCTGACGGGGACTGGACGTTATGTTCACATGACGCCAGTTCTCCGTCAGCTTCACTGGCTCCCCATTGAAGTCCGGGCCCAATTCAAGGTGTTGGTAATGACCTATAAAGCCCTAAACGGCTTGGGTCCTGGTTACCTGAAGGAGCGCTTACATCCATATTTGCCCAGTCGCCCCCTGAGATCGGCGGGAGAGGCCCTTCTCCGGGAGCCCTCCGTGAGAGAAATTAGGAGGGTGGTTACTCGGAGAAGGGCTTTCTCAGCGGTGGCGCCTAAGTTATGGAATGCGCTCCCCAGAGAGGTCCGCCTGGCGCCGTCGTTATTTGTTTTTCGGCGCCAGGCTAAGACCTTTTTATTTAAGCAACATTTTAAATGCTAAATACAATTGAATTTTATCTGGCCAGGGCGGCTTATTTTATAATGTGAGTTTTAATTAAGATTATTTTATATGGATTTTAACTTGTTTTATCTATGTTGTAAGCCGCCCCGAGGCTTCGGCGAATGGGGCGGCATAAAAATGTTTTAATAAATAAATAAATAAATAAAATTCGTCTCCTGGCAGGATGGAAAAGGGAGTTCAATCTTAGTATTACATACAGAGCTCGATTACTTTACACATGCAAATGCAGATATTTTGAGTCACCTCAGGTAGGTAGCAGCCTAATCACAAAACATTATCTCATCAGACAGTGTTGCATAAAATATGTTAACCAGCAGGGGTAACAGACTGCTGCAATGACCCAAGAAACAAAGATCGCTGTTCAAACTATCACTTTCTGTATTAAAAAGGTTATGCATTTTATTTTCCAGAGCCACTTTTTAAAAATGCGGCACAAACTCTCTGTCTGCGCTAACCCAGCTTACACAATCCATCTACGCAACCTAAATGGAGACTGACGGAACAAGTCAGCCTCACGTGACACGGTTATCAATTTAATGCCTTATATAACTTGTCAGGGCATTAAGAAGTGAGTGCAAAGGTCACAGAACCACTTTGTGAGCTGATGATGGGGCAGCAAATGGTTGATAAAGTGATCAAGGATTGCTTCCTCGACTTGCGCTTGGAGGTATGTGGTGGGGAGGAAATACCTTCTGAACTGATTGTCGAAGGTCAGAAATGGAGTGGCCATGATGGGGGTTAGGCTTCAAACATGTTGCCATAGAATAGTCTTCCTCAACCATCACTCTCCAGATGGGTTAACGAGAACTTCCAGCTTACCCAGCTGGCATGGCTATGATGGGAGCTGTAGCTGAACAAATCTAGGAAAGCTGCTAAAGAATCTAAGGTATTTCAAGGGCAAGATGGTGACATCCAAGAGGCAGCACTGGAACACTGAGCCTTAATTGTGCCCATGGCTCCCCGTGGTTTTATTCTCTCACTGAGGGCGCTGACAGTCACTGTGGTAGCAATGTGCCTGCAGAGCTCCATCCCTGCATCAGCTTTTCCCCAGGAGTTAATGTTCCTTGCTTAATAGGGACCCACATCCATGAACTAGTTCAGGAAGGTTTGACAGATGTTTGCAGTGTGTGCTGGATAGCTGGGTGGTCAGAAAACTTTCACTACTCAGTCTGGTCCCAGTCAGTGATGGGCCGCCCTCTGGCTGTAGTCCAGCAGCAGGAAAACAGCAAGAGGCCAACTACTGGAATGGGATATTCCTGGGTTCCTGCAGAAGATATGAAGGGCTCATTTCCACCCTCAGATCTGGCATCCTTTGTTAGCAAAGGTCAGTTTAATTGCGTCAAGAAGGGTGCTGAGAAGAGAATCTCTTGCATTTGAGCATTCAGGCCATCAACATAAGAGGCTTTTAGTGTGCTCACTGAGTCCGTAGACTTGACATTCCTGTGCAGCCCTCTGCTTATGCAGCTGCCAAAAGAAGCCTTCCAGTGCCCCTGCTCCCCGGTTGGGCAGACCTTCCAAATGACTTTTTAGCCATTGTCTTGACTCCTACAGGTTTTTATTCTGCTCTAAACTTTGTATTTATTTTTGTAGCATTTATGCGCTGCCTTGAGCTTAATTTAGAAGAAGGCAGCTCTGGTAAGAGAGCAGGAACATTGTCAGGCCATGACTGTGGCTTAGAGATACCCATGGATCTCTAAGCCACCAGGGAAGGAAGTCCAATAAGAAATGTTCCTCGCTTAAGGGGAGCCTGTCTGCACCCTCAGCTTCCGGCTCCTACAGTGCAGATGGCACAGTGCCTGGGGGGGGGGGGGGGGTTGGGGCAGCTGCCAGAAGGAACAGTTCTGAAGGACTACAAGGAAGCTTTCTAGCCTAAGGCTCTGATTCCCTTTCAGGGAGTCTTTGCAGGAGGGAGGGCACACAGCAAAGGTGGCTGTCCTTGGAAAAAGTGAATAATGCCAAAGTTAAACTCTCAGTGTACATCCACACATAATACACATACACCATCACATACATCCTTTCTCAAAATAATGTGTGCCCATTCCCCTTACAGACACACACAAATACCCCCAATTGTGTTACAATTACATGTTGAAAAGGCCTTCTGTTGAAAGCCTTTACCAAGCCTTGTTTCAGCGCAGAAGAAGGGGATAGTGTGTCCATGGGAGGGGCGGTCACAGCTCCAGAAGGGTTAACCTGCTCCTGGGACAACCCACTCCCATGGTCTTGCTCCACACTTCACTAGGGCTTAGGAAAAGCGTTCTGTTGAAATCAGTGGGAGAACCGATCAGTGGAAGAGCTCTCAAGCCTCAGTGCAGCTGGGAAAGGGGAGTGAGGGGTTCCCCATCCACTGACTAGGATCTCCAGGCCTCATGTCAGAAGCTGCCTGCTGCTTTATGAACCAAATGGTGCTCCGACTGCACATCCTGCTCCCTTGCCTCCTTTCCTCTTCTGCCTGTGATGTGGCAGAACGAGAAGCAGTGCCAGCCCCAGCAGAAGGGGCAGGAAGGTGGGACCTGAGCAGCCATTTGACAGAATGTGCAGTAGCCCCTGGAAGACCCATCCTCTGGACAGCCCTTGCTGTTTCTCCAGATGCCCCAGGAGCAGAGCAGTGCTCACCTGCTTTGGTGGGCTTGATGCTGACTGGCTGGAAGCCAGCAGTGAGAATAGAGGAGTCGGCCACGTCCGAATCCAGCCCTTCCTTCTTGCGGCAATAGACGAGGGTGACCACCAAGAGAAGCAGCACCAAGCAGACGGCCACAGCGATCAGGCCCACATATAGCGCCACGTCTTCCGAGCCACCCGTTCCTACGAGGGAAGCAGAACAGAGAGGTATAAACCGAGCCGGTTGTTGCAGAGCATCCTACATTGGGAAATACTGGCATTGCTTCCTGGAGAAGGAACATGCCACTCATCTGCATGACAGGCAATGCCTGTTATCTGGGGGCATGTTCAAGTGAGTGGGATCTGCAGGGAAAAGGCACTGAATCCCAGTTCACAGGCCTTCTCAGGATGAGGCAAACCAAGGGGTTGGTACCTGCCTTCCCTTGCATTGCAGGTGTAGCCAAAACAACATGCCCAGCCTGCTTTTCTCTGAGCTGGGCCTTTGACTCGTGGCCTCTTTAAGTGCAACATCCTGCTATTCTTCAAAGGGCAACAGAAGAAGAGGCAAGGAACAAGGAGCAAAAAAGCTTCCTCTGGAATCCAGCAGTCCAGTTTCAGATTTCGGAAGGGCAAAGAAGCTGTGATTTTTGGCAAGGTTTAATGGCTCACTCATAGATAAAGGGTGTTCACAGACAGAGGGCTCTTAGCACTACCAGTCAGAAGGCATTCTGCAACAGTTCCATCCTTTCCTCTTTAACGCATTTTCTGCCGTAAGAAAAAGATGGAAGAACTGGTAGGAATACATGGAAGGCTTATGAATTGGAGGCTCTTGAAAAAATTATGCGAATGAGGGAGGGCAACAAAGCCATCAAAGAAGAAATTGCAAAGTAAGTGGTGCATTTTTAGAGCATCTGTTGTGGTTCCCTCTTTTAATCACTACAGCAGTATTATCGATATAGCACATGCACTCTCTCTCTCTCACACACACACACGCACACACACTAAAAAGTGTTACATTAAGGCACATGTGCAAGCCCACTTAGGGTGCAATCCCATTCGCTCATTTGCTTATACGTTTATATCCTGCTTTCATGGTCCCCCTTCTCTCCATGTTATCCTTACAACAACCATGTTGGCTGGGGAATGCAGAGTCGTAGCACTTTTTAAACCTGTATAGGATGGCACCTTAAATTGTTTATCATCATAGTAGCAGTCCGCAGAATTAGCTGGAAATCTATGTGCCCATCAGGAATGGAAATGTGTGCATATCTGGCATGTGCAGCAGGGCTGGAATCCGAAATGCTGGGAGGGTGCTGCCCCTGCTGGAATGGTGTTTTGTGTTTTTTAAAATGAAGATTGTTAGCAGAAAGGAAGAAGGTTAAAATTTGGGTTAGAAAGACCCCTTCTGTGCCCGTCTCATAATTTCTGAGCACAAGCCATCTCTGATAAGGAGAAGGGATGGATGGTCCTTCCCCATCCGTCATCTTGTCGATATCCATGAATGTTGAGGAAGCAGAAATGCTCACAGAGGCTCCCTGTCCTAAATCCTGGCTCAGAAGGAAAGCGCGCGTGTGTGTGTGTGTGTGCACGCTCCTTTCCCTCGGTGTGCAATGCCCCCTGGCAGACACACAATGTGCTGCTGCATGCAGGGGTCGGCTGTGAGGGGACTGGGAGAGGCCGGCAGCAAGGGAGCACACAGGCCTTTTGTGAGTCAGAGCTCTGCATTTCTGGGTTAGGAGAACAATGAGGCAAGCACATGTTCGTCCAGCTTAAGAGATGACGGATGCGCAGGGTGGGCATGGTGTGTGAAGAAAAGGACCCATGTGTGTGTTTTGTGCCAACCAGCACTTTGCCCTGCTGCTGTCCTTCTGCATCCGACCCCCACCCTGCCAGCTGGACCAAACTGTCAGGCTGAATACCTCTGGGAGGGCAGGGGGACATTGCCTCATTTCAACTGTGAGAATAGTTAATTTGATGTAAAAGGAAGAGAAAACCCCTAGGAGGCCTCACAAGCTTGGATGGTTAATGAGTCAGGATGGGACCTGTCACTCACTCTCCCACCCTGGCAGGCCAGCACAGAGCTCCCCTGCCTGGCGGCTGACAGGCTGCTTGCTCGACCCACGTGCTCCCACCACGATGTCTGGGTACAGCAGAGAGTGGGGAGGGGGCCTGGGACCTTCTCCCCAGGCGTGGAGCATGTGGAGGGAGGCAGGAGCTATGGGGCCCCCGAGGGGGGTCCCTGCCAAGGTGGGTTGCTGCTCTGTTGCCTGTGGATGCTGGGCAATGCCATGCTTGGCAGTGGCGAGCCCATCGGTGCCGGGCAGACGGCTGCAAGTCCCTATGGATAGGCAGACCAGAGCTGACAGGCGTCACTGCCGTTATACCCCAGTCGGCCTGACAAACAAGGCTTAGGGAAGCCGCCCACGGAAGAGGGTCAGATACCCCTGCCAGCCTGGGGAGGCTTCTTCCTCCCTACCACCCTCCTGTGGCTTTGCGAGGAACAGTCCTCTCTGTCTGAAGGCTGCTGGAGGACAGTCCTCTGTCAGAAAGACTGTCTAATCTTAAATGTGGATTAAAGATGAAGAACCCCAAGAAGGGAGGAAGAGCAGGGGGAGTCCTTGAAGCTGCCTATAGACACTTCCCACCAGGACAGTGGCCTGAGCTGGTGACAAACTTCCTTCCTATGTTGAAATGCATGTGGTTAAAATTTTGGACTGGGGTTGAGGAGACCTGGGTTCCAGTCCCTGCTTGGCCATGAAGCTCACTGGGTGATTTTGGTCCAGTTACTGACCTACCTCACAGACTTGTTGTGAAGGTAAAATGGAGAGGTGCAGGGGTTTGTGTAGATCACCTTAGGCTCCTTAAAGGAAAAAGTGGGATTTACATGTAGCAAACAGATGCATATAAATAAAACCCTATTTAAAGCACTGCCCTACATTTGTACCTCTTAATTCCAAATGAGTATAAGCAGGTTTCCTCCGAGCCCGTGTCCTCCCTTTGGTCCTCTCCTTCCATGGCGCACTTGCTTCCCCTCGGCCCTGAGCTAGGCACAGCCACTCCACCTGCCCTCCCCGCTCCCCCAGCACCATCACCAGCGGCGGCACTGTCTTTCCCCAAGCGTGGCAGACAAGGCAGAGACTCACCGTGACTGCACAGCTCGCTGGTGCAGTTGCGGGTCTCCAGTTCGGGGCCCTGGCACTCCTCCCCACCATTCCGGGGTAGCGGATCTGAGCACTCACGGCTGCGCCACTGTGTACAGTCCGTGCCACACACCGACCACATGCTCCAGGCTGACCAGCCGCCAGGCACTGCCAGAGAGGAGGAGGCAGCAGAGGTGGCTTAGTCACCGCACTACGAACTCGCAGCGTTTCCTTCTGCGCACAGTGGGCCCTCGCTTGACCCTTCTGCCCAAGCAGCTCTCTCTCTAGCCCAGAGTTCCTCAACCTGATGCCCTCCCACTGTGCTGCCTACGACTCCCAGCATCCACAGCCACCAGCAGGATGCGGGGAGTTCTTGTCTAATGCACCAGGTGGGGGGCACGGTGGCGAAGGCTGCCCTAGCCAAATGTTTAGAGCAGCCTCAAGGGTTGCACAGACACTGCTGGGAGACGTCAACCCTGCTGAGGAGTGAGGGGTCTGCACAGCTTGTGGCTGACCCACTGCTGGCTGCGCAGGCCCCCTGACATGGAAAGGATGGTCTTTGTCACGTGCTTCAGAAGGTCTGGGGGGCTCAGAGACAGGAGAGGACAAACACAGACAAGGGGAGGGGAGGGGAGGGAAGGGGAGGGGAAGGACAGGTGGAGCAAAGGCAGGAGGTGGGCAAGGCTCTCGGGTCACACAGAGCGGAAGACACAGGAGAAAGACGCCTCAGGCACATGCCACACTGTTCCCGATCGGCTCTCCATTCAGCAGGATGCTCTGGGGGAAGGGGGCTGAGGGCACAGATGGAGCGGTGTGGCTGGCGAGCCCCCCAAGAGAGGGAGCGGAAGATCAGAGCAAACATCTGTGGCTCTGCCTCTTCTGGGTTTCACCTGTGTGGGACCCCGAAGCCTTTCCCCACTGTTACAAGTGGGCTGGGGACTCAGGGCGAGGGCTTGGGGGGTGACAAGGAGAGCCCTGGGAGCGGGTGCACGGCAGTGGTGGGGCAGTACCTGGGCACAGGGTGGCGCAGGAACTTTTCTGCACATTCTGGCCCTCACAGAAGGCCCCCCCGTTGAGTGGCGTCGGGTTGGTGCAGCTCCGGCTCCGCTTCTGCCAGCCCCGTCCACAGCTGGTGCTACAGGCTGACCAGTCCGTCCACGTCGACCAGCCACCATTCACTGGGGGGAAGGGACAGCATCAGCTCGAGCTCCCAGAGATGGTGCCTTGGGGGCCACGGGCTGCAGGGATCTGCTGCCCCCACTGGGAGCAGAGCACTTTCCAGGCCTGAGGGAGCCCTAACCTTTTGCGTGCCTGGGGACAAAAGAGCTGGCTTTGGGATTCAAGCGTCCGTCGTGCGTGTGCAAGTGTGCATGTCTGTGTTTGTGCATATGTACAGTTTGGGGAGAATACACAGGAAAACATGGGGGGATGCAGGAGGAGTCACAAGCAGAGGGGCGAACACTTGGAGGAGCGGGAGGGGGGTCACGTCGCTTCCCCCCAGGGGATGTGGCAGAAGCATCACTTGCTCCCTGGTCACATTCGCAACCCAGCACCCCTTCCCAGCGCCTGGGGCTCCCTTGGCCTGTGTCCCTCATTCTGGACGGATTTCTGACTAGGGTGGGAGATACAGTCTTGGCAAGGTTCCCTCTTCACTGCACTCCAAACGCAACCAGGGGCTCCTAAGCCGCCTCCCCGCTTGACTCAGAGCTGAGGCCAGACTCCGCAAGGTAAGTTTTGGGCATTCATAACACTGGATTTCTTCCTCCGCCTCCACCTGGGGGGGTTGTTGCAAAGGATGCTGTGCCCTCCAGGCCCCCTGTTCCTCCAAGCCGCCCAGCCCCGGCCTTGATGGGGCCCTACCGTAGACAGTGACAGTGGCAGGCGAGCTGCGGCGGCGGGCCACAATGTTCTTGGCCACGCAGGTATAGTTGCCCGTGTCAGCCAGACGGGCCTGCTTCACCACCAGGCTGTGCTCCAGCGTGACATAGAAATTGGAGTCCACAGTTGGATCCACGAGCTCTTCGTTGCGCAGCCACTCAACCTTGGGGAGAGACACAAGCCACACATGCGAGGGGAGGATTGGAGTTGGACACAGGGGAGCCTTTCAAGCACAAGCGCAGAGCTTCTCCCTGTGAGCACAATCTGGCCTGCAGAGGTTCCACAGAGCCTTCCAGAGTTGCTCTGGGGATGGGGATTAGAGGCTAAGCCCCATCCCTGGAGAAACTCCAGGACTCCGGTGAAGTTATCTCACAGTTATCTCTGATCCTGTGGCTGCAAGGTGTGTCTGAAGGAAGCTTGTCCTGGCACTGACCTAGCAAGGGACAAGGCTTGACAAGTCAGCCAGCACCAGTGCAGCCTAGGGGGCTCCAAAAATGAGAGACAGTAAGCTCTGCAGAAAGAGAAGTGGCAGCAGTGAGCATGGAAGGGAAGACACTATCATGAACCCACTTCAGATGCAGCACAGCAGAAAGGCCAAGCCAAGTGCAGGGTCGGGATGGGGCCCTGCCTTTGTCAGTCCCACTCAAGCTGCTTGGGCCTCATTGCGATGAGTGGGCTTCATGAGTGGGCTTCACTCAGCCCACTGGCTTCCGAGTATTACCCAGAGCTATGCAAGCGGGGAGGCCAATACTCACTTCAGCTGGTGGGATTCCCTCTGGGGGACGGCAAGGCAGCACGATTCCTTGCTCAATAGAGACTTCTTTGGCCACTGGCTCTTGCTCAAAATTCTTTCGCAGATCTATAAGAAAAGAGAAGCTCAGCGTGGTGATTTGTCTTCTCCAAAACCTCCATGTCATACTAGGCGCCTTCTTATCTGATCCCTGCCAACACCAATGCCCGGCTGGTCATACTTGATTCAGCCATGAAAGACCTGTTGCCAGGCTCCAGTTTTCAGCTGAAGGATTGCAGCCATAGCTAATCTGTGCACTCATCAATGGTTCTGGGTGCAAAGAGCCCCTGGACAGGTAGGTGGCCTGGTTTGGGGAACAGCAGGAATTATAAGGCTCAAAGAAAGGAATGGTGAATGATCTGAGGTCCTAGATGTCTCCGTTGGGCAGCCAAGATGATAAGTGAAGGTTACTCTCAGCTCAATAGGAATGTTGGAGAAATCTGCAATAAATAACAATGAGTTCAGATTTCTGTGACTCCAATCTGTGGATTCCTCAGTGGACCAACCTTTTCCAAGCCATGCAGATTTTATGGACTTATGGACCATTTTCTAAAAACTTTTTGGGGAATTTGCTCAAATTTGCACTTGTGGCAATGTGCACTTGCACAAGAGGAACAAAATTCTCAGACGTCTCTAAACATGATCCAATTCTGTCAATTTGGCAAAGAATAGGACAAAAGATGCCTGGCAACCTGTGAAAGAAAGACAGGATGGATTTAACAAAATCCGTACATTCCTACTCACAAGCAATGCGCACATAAGCCTTCTGGCTCTTGGTGGTGCCAGAAGAGCTCCAGGCAACACACTGGCACCAATACTCTTCTAAGCCAAAGATCTTCTCCACCTGCTGCCGTGAAATGTCGATCCGTACCTCCATGAGAGGCAGGCCTGCCAGAACATTGGGGAACAAAAAAGCAAGAGAGGAAAGAGAGATCAAAGGCAAGACTGTGTGTGTGTGCCAGAACTCTGTGGAAGTACAGGAAATGTGCAGGTCTTGAGGACTTCAGCTTTCATTTTAAACTGTCCCCCATTCTGCCACCCCTACACAGCCAAACAGGCTTCTAGCCCTTATGGTTACACTTGGAAGAGCATGGGCTAATCTTTGAACACCTGAAGCCACAAAGGTTGCTGCTCAATATAATTTTCAGCCATCAGGGTAAAGGGGTTACGTGTCCTGCATGACTCTTTCCCCCTTCCTATGATTAGCAAAAGCATGATAAATTTTGTGAAATAGTCACCATCATGGAATTATGCAAAGCAAGAGAAATTATCATCTATGCCAGCTGTAGAATCCAGGTTTTCCTGGTGCAGAATTTTTGTGGCTTTACTGTAGAGATTATGGCAGCACAGCCTGATCCCAATACCACAGGATGCAGCCTCCTCGGACAGCTGCTTCCTGGCCCTGAGTGCCCAGTTGGAGCCCTGGCATGGTACTGGTCTTTGTTCACAGAATGACACAGAAGGTGCATAAGGAGGTAGGTAACTCCTGAGTTCTTTTGGCAAGCTTGATTACCTGCCTCACTTGTCTGTGAACAAATTATGAGCTGCTAGGTTCACATCCTGCCATTTGGATCTGTTTCACACCAAGGTATGTGCTGGAGTCTACCTGGCAATGGGATATACGTACATTGAACGAGTTAGCTCACACCTGGGGGTATAGAAGGAGGGATGCAACTTGGAATTGGGGAATGTTGCTATAGTGGTTAAGTTTTTGTTGTTGTTAGTCACGAAGTCGTGTCCGACCCATCGCGACCCCATGGACAACATTCCTCCAGGCCTTCCTGTCCATGGGCATAAATAGTTGTTGACAAATATGATGAGCTCTGGAACACTATGGGCCTAGGTTGGCCATGTATCTTCTTTAGAGAGAACCATCTTTTATCTGAAAGTATATTATATATAAAGGGGCTGTCCAATTCTGTTTTAAAGATAAAGAAGCATCAGAATTCCTGTCCATTAACAGTGAGCATCTGGACAGCAGACTGAACAAGCAGGCACACTGATCAACTGGTCTTCCATGCTACAGTGCAATTTGCTGTCTATTTAAATTTTAATCATGTCTATATGTGCATCTCTACATATAAATTAGTGTACCAAGATCCCTGACTTCCCTATTGGTGATGCATTTCTCTGTTTTCGGCTCATAAGTGGCATTGTGACATGCGAACTGGTTTGGTACTGCTTGCCTCTGTGCCAGGGACTGTCATTCTGCGAGCATGTAACAGTCAGCACCCTCACCAAGCAGCAATTCCCAGGGTTTGTCAGAGAGATCCATAGCAGTTAGACTGGAATAAACTAGAGGTATAGATGTGTCCCAACTCAGTACTGAGACAGAAGCAGCAGTGAGCCACCCAGCCATCCAGACAGTGATTCCTCTGCTGCCTGGGGATGCCATCTTCCAGCACTCACCAGTGCTTTTGTCCTTGCTGCGTTGGATGAGGTGGTCGCCCTGGTGCACCCACTCGCCGTTGCACTTGAAGTAGATCTGAGTGGCAGGCATGGCCTTGCAGGCCAGGGTCACAGGCTTGTTCTTGACAATGTACACGTCCTCAGGCTCCAGCAGGAAGTGAGGGAGCAGGTCAGAAGCTGAGCCAGGCATAGGGATGGGCACGGTGGCACTCTGTTGGGCACCTGGGCAGGGTGGACAGAGGAGGGGGTTACAAGCTGGCACAGTGGCCATGGAAACATTCAGCCAGGCCACAAAGGATCAGGCTTCCACCATGGGCCCCATGTCAACAGAACCAATTCCTCCTTGCTGTGACTGCACAACCTTTATTCTACAGTTCGAGTGTAGTCAGTACAGTCGTGATGTCTTTGCGTCATTGACCAGCCAGAATCACAGTTCTGTAAGATTAAGCTTCTTCAGTTAAAGGGCAAAACTTCATCTTTCCTTTACTAGAATCAGAAGAACAGCAACTTTTTGGGAGCTTGGCTAATTACACAGTGAATTGGTCTGTACTATTAATGAAAGGAACTGCAAGAGCTCTCAGCCATGCTGCTGTCCCCACAGCCATCTCCGATGATCATGGTTTCAGCTCATGCAACCAAATACCAGTAGTGGAAAGCCGGTGGAAAGCCCCAGTGGATGTTCCAGCAAATGCCAATGACTCATGGTAGCTGGCATTTTCCAGTAACTCTTAATACTTTAAGAAGCTAGTGGGAAAAGCTGGAAACACTTCCAGGGGAGTAAGCTCACCAACAGGGATGATCAGTGGTGATTGTTAAAGATACACCACTTAATGGGCATGTATGCTAGTGGTAGTGTAAACAGCAGTGGTTATGGGTTGTGCACAGAATTCTACCACTTCCTTACTGATTGTTCATACTCAGCTTGTCCATTTCCCTTCAGTTTAGAAAGTGTATTTCCAGACATTCTGGACTTCAACCCAAGCATTCTTGAACACTGGCTATGCTACAGAGGCTTCTGGAAATTGAAATCTAAAACTTTTGGTGATCTATTTTCTGCTTGTCCTGACTGTATATGGTATGGAAGAACCTTTGATTGTGGACATGCTTTCTGATGCACCACAACAGCCTACTATGCTAACTTAGTAGCACACACATTCCCTTACAGGAAATTGACACTGGCTGCCTTGAATGCTATTTTTCTTGGTGGAAAAACAAGGTCAAAAATAAATTAAGTGATATAATGCTAGTGTAAATAGTTCCTGTACACACTGGTTGTATATGAGGTCTCAAAATGGTAAGGGTAATTGCTCAAATAACCTTTTAGGACCGGTAATGCCCTGTGGCTTTAACCTCTAATCACTTTCCATCCTATCTTCTATCTTTGCTAATGCTCTTTAAGCTTGACGCTCAACATCTTCTTAGATGAGCCTGAAGTTTATTCTTCACACTCAGACTGTCAATTTCCCATCAGTTTCTTGTTAGGATAGGTGGACATCTTCTGGCATTAGTGTGTTGACAGAACTGATGTCCAGATTTAGTTTCCTGTCTCTGTGCCTTAAATTCAGTTCTCTAGTTTCAGGTAGCTGAAAAGGCAATTGGGTGATAGGCTGAGACAAAACCAATTGATGTAACTTACATTGCTTTCATAGTGAGGCAGAACCAGATCCTCCGTCTCAACCACATTCCCTCCTAGATTTCCTAGGTAAAATATTTGCAGTGTTTTCTATCTGTCATTGACTTTTATTTGGTCTGGCAGAGGGCAAGGTGAGATTTAAGCAGTGTGACTGAAGACTCTGTGATAAAACAGCATATTGCCACACACCCTGGGGCTACTGGGATGTGGTGGTATACATGCTGAAGAATGTAAAAGAGAATAAATAAAATATGGACATGTTCATGTTGAGATGGCAACCACTTCTGTAGGGTTTGGTAGACAACATACCTACTGTTAAAGAAACTCAGAAGCCTCAGTTTCAAAGAATTGATCATCAAATGATCTAAGATGCATATTTAGGTTGCAATTCTACACTCACTTACCTTAGTATAAACTTCATGGAACTTAATAAGGCTTACTTCTAAGTAGACAGGTATTTCAGTTTGCATGATTAAACTCGTAGACACTACAGAATTGCATATTATCTCCATGTTCTAAACACACATAGACCTGAATTCCATAATTTCAGTTATTTTTAAACACAATGAATTTAGTTTCAACCAAAAAAAGGCCAACATTTTAATTAGCTGTTTAGAAAATAGAGTCCTAATCACTGGGAATAGGCTGGATATAAGAAGCAGCAGCAGCTGCCAGTGAATGGTAAACATATATTGAGAAAATGTGCATTAAAGCCATTTAAGAGGGGCAGTAGTATGTGATATTCAACAAATGCCTCCCCCCCACCCACCAGAAGATGCATGATTTGCCATTGTGCCTTCAGCGCCTAAAGCAAGGCGCCCACCACCTCCGTCCTTTCTCCCGATGGATCAGTGGTACCCCCTCTGACAGGCTTGCACAGCGGGGGCTGCTGACAGGATGCTCCTCCCGCCACACACGCACACGCACACGCACACGCACGCACTCCTAGCCTCCACCGAGGCTAATCCATCACGGCAGGAAACGCCGCACGGCATGCGCCCAGTGAACCTGCGCCGATCCCTCATGTCTGCATTTAACTGCTAATGAAAAAGAAATGTAGTGTGACCAATAAGGGACATAGCTCACTTCTCTGGGGGCTTCGTCTCGTCATGGCACACTGAGCGGAGCTCGCTCCCTCCCCTCTGCCCGCCCCCTCCTCTGCCTCGCGGCCGCCTGCTAGCCTGGCGTGGTGGCGCCTCAGCCGGGCCGCGCCAGTAGCACGCGGCGGCGCGCGGCGATGTCCGGTTAGCCCGAGGCGGGCAGGGGCAGGCAAGGCGGCGGCGCTGCCTGGAGGGGCGCGCTTCTTCTCCCACGGAGGGAATCTACAGAGCCCGGAGAAGGGGATGGTTGCTCTTGCGACGCCTGAGACCCACAGGAGCGTCGCACGTAGTGCTGCCAACGTGCCTGGTGGACTTAGCCGGAGTGCACGCCTTCCCGCCAATTTGGTGGTGCTTCTCCCTGCCAAGGGCATTTATTCTACCACAGCTTCTGCGCTCCACTCGTAGGTCTCTGCCGTCGCCGCTTCCTCCTCTCGCTTCCCCCGCAGTAGGAAGGCTCGAGGCAACAGAGCGCAGGGCTCCCGCACCTTTAGTTTAGCTGCTGCGTCCAAGAGGGAATTTATGGTCTCGCAGGTTTTCTTCCCCCTGCGGCATTCCAGGACGATCAGCGAGCAACATCTGCCACCATGCCACCGTGCAGACACTATTTAAAGGTACAGAAGCACCGCTCTCGCTTGCATCCGGTGCCTCCCCCCCGCAGTAGTTCTCCTCCCCCCTTGTGGCGGCTTCCCCTAGGTCCCTCCCCCCCTCCCCTTTATCTTAACGTTATGGCTCCAGGCCAGCCTGCTGCTTTTTGTTTTTCCTTCCCTCTCCCAAATGAAGTCTAGTCCCTAGAGACGCTCGATCGCTAGAGCTGCATGAACAACTCCTTCTGCTACCGCTTTCCCCATCGCCACCACCTCCTCCCGCTCCCCTGGAGAATAGTTCATGGTATGCGAGTAGTTTAGGCCACATCTCTCTCGATCTCCTCCTCCCTCTCACACACACACACACACACACACACACACACACACACACACACACACACAGCCAATTGCACGGGTGAGTGACTTCAAATGTTTTGGCCTACAACTCCCATTGTCCCAATGGTGAGAAATGATGGAAGTTGTATGTCCAAAGGTCAGAAATGCTGCAAGTTGCTCACCCTTGCTCTACAGCCACCTCCATGTGCTTGGGGAATACTGTGAGGGCGAGCCTGATGGTGTGGGTTTGGATCACTGTATGGTGCCTTTTGTAGGCTGGTCTTATGGGGTAAGAACCATTATAAATGGGGCAGAAATCCTTTAAGAATTACCTCCTCCCTTTCACAGTGCTGTCAGTCAGACTTTCTTCCAGCAGCTTTTGTCTTAAAAAATGTGTGAGATCAGATTACAGATTTCCTGCCATCATGTCCACACAACTGGCCATTAGGTTACCTGACCACAAGTTCAGATCAACACTTAGGCACAACTTTTGCTCAATGAGTTTGGGCCTTAGTTTACCTTACCTCACTGGAATGTTGTGAGGATAAAGGGCAGGAATATATGTCATCTGACCTCCTGGGGGGAAGGGTGGAACAAAAACAATTTAAACTGACAAAATGAGCAAAAGAGTTGAGGATCTTTATATAGCCAACAAGCTTGTGAAATAACTATTTTCATATTCAATAGTCAGATCAGAAATTGAGGCCTAGGAACAAGAACCTGCTTATAATTATGTGCAGAGAGCACAACTGAGAGATACTCTGATCTAGAGCTGATAATCTTTTTCATCCTGGGAACCGAATCCAGTTTTAGGGTCTCCATTCCAGCAATGGATGGGGCAGGGCAAAAAGGTTAGCATCTTTTAGCTTAAACTGCCAGTAACTAAGCCTTAGGAGAGACATCTCAACCTTTTAGAATGGACACACACAAACACACAAACAGATGCTATCAAATGTTTGGTGGTGAGATGATAAGGAGTCAGGGCAAGGGGAAGCTGTGTGGCATTCCAGAACGCAGGTCTGACACCCCAGGATGGCCAAAGTTAGCCTCAGTGCCTGAGGTTCTGTACCCCTGCTCTAATCCCGCCTCAGGTCTCGGTACAAGTTGAGTATTCAGTTTAGATCTGCAATCAATCAGCTAAGTTTTCACTGCACATTTGTCCCTGATATGGAAGCAGGAGTCTAATTCTGTTGCATTCTAGGCAGAAGGAAGTGATGGGATAGCAATAGAGATGAATGTGCAGTGATTGTAAAGCTGGTAATAAAGGTAGGTATGGTTGGGCACCTACCAAAGGCCCATACCTGCAAGGGTCCAACAGCAAGAACCTCCAGGACTTGCTCTTCCTTTATATCATTTGTAATACACTATTGCTGTAACCCCGACAATGGTGGTAAACAAGATGGAGGAGCTCCAGGTACCACTGCCTGCTTGCTCTCTGGCTCTCTACCTGTCAAACATGCAAGTGGTGTGAGAGAGAGGATGAGAAGCCATAGAAGCTGTTGACAATGACAGTGAGAGAAAGTGGATACACCGAGGGAGGGGGTCTTGCACAAGAGCCCTCTAAAAGCTGGAGCAAGCTGAGTGGATGCATCCTTCCTTGGTGCCTGAGAGGTTTTCAAGGACAGCCATTGATTCAAAGTGAAGAGCTGCTCTAGGAGGGGCTTGCTATTATGCCGTTGCACCAACACACTGGTTCCTTCTTCCTGGTGGCAAATTTGATTCTAACAGGTAGTGCTGCTGCTGCTTCCTTCTCCTCCTCCAGTCTGTATCTCAAGCTAGTTGTTTTTTTGCATTTCGATGTGAAACTTTCCTTCTAGCATCCATAAGAAGAGCCACCGAGAATGATGGTGCACAGCTAATCTCAGTGCTGCTAATGTGTCTTTTAAATCTGGATCCTCAGCACGAGTAGGATTTGAATGCATTCATTTCAGAAGCCATATTTTGGCTCTTGAGTGTTGCTGTCATAGAGGATACTGTTTGCCGGCTACTAAATTAGAGGAAAAGAAAACATGTAAGGCAGCTTTCCCTTCTAATGATGCATGGCAGTAGTTTTGTTTATTAAATTGTGAGGTAACACACATTTAAAAGAATTGATGCCTTTTCCTTCACTCTATCCCAAAGGCTTCTTGGTTGACATTCTGATCATGCCCGAGTCCATTTAATCATGCTGATTCTAACCAATGTGTTGTGCGATGGTTATATAAATACAGCACATTAAAATAAAATGCAATATAAGCATTATTCCCATAAGAGTATGCACCCCAGTTCTTCTCTGCACTCATATATGGACACTCGACCGGTATTGTTCTTCCCACGCCTAGATAGCAGTCATTGCACCCAATTTTGTATAAGAAAAGAAAAAGCAGGAAGCAATCACTGGCCAATGGCTGCATTATTATCCTCCTGCCTCTTGATTGGGGGCAATTTCCCTGCTCCTTGATTGGCTCTGGCTACTGAGATGTCCTTGAAACAAGAAAGGCAAGACAGCCACAGCATTAAAAGTCCAGGTTCAATCATGCCATGGGCAACGCTGGGAGAAGGCATAGCTGTTTCATGTAAATGGCCCTACGTGGTGCTGACTTCCTCCTAGATAAACCAGTTGCCCAGTACTAGTGAAGCCACCTCATACCATAGCCTGAGAGTGTGTGTGGCAGCCTCCCCCCCTCCTACACCCCACAGAGGCCTGGGACCAGGGATTATGAGAGTTGTAGTCCAACACAGCAGTTTGGGAAGGCTGGTCTACTCTGAGTTGCAGCTACATTTGTCCAGTGTCTCTGAGAAGAGTCTTTTCCAAAGAAAATGTGCTGCCTGAAGCAAAGCTGGGATAGGTTTAGGGCGCCCTTGGGCAAGACTGCAGTGGTGGCCCCCCTCCCCACAAAGTCTGTGTTCTCCCTGCCATGATCACCAGTGGTGCTGCTTCTCATCCTCTTTCTCACTGTGAGCAAGTGGGCAGTGGAACAGGCCAATCCTCCTTCTCACCACCTGGTGCACAAAGCAAGTGTGAGCAGCCACAAGCAGCCAACTGGGTCAGCCAGCCAAGTGGGTGGGTGGGAAGTAACAGTATTGCCGCCTTGCCGGAGGTGGCACAAAACATTGGGCTGTGCTTGCAAGCTGTATCTGCCCTGATGCTGGACCTGCCAGACAGCATCCTCCGCAGTGCTAGGGCCAACACTGTGGGAGCTTTCAGGCACGAATCCCTTCCTTTGGTTATCTCTCCACACCCATGTGGCTGCATGAAGTGGCTTGTTTCACCCTTCTGCCCAGCAGGACTTGCCCTGCTGATCTTCTGTCTGCAGGCATGAGGGATGGGATCTGAGGACATCTGCATGCAAAGCAGGTGCTCTGCCACTGAGCAGTGCTATCAAGTGATGGGTGAAGACCTCCTGCCTGACCCCCTAAGCAATGCCATTCCGTGGAGGCATCCTGTAGATAGTTTAAAGTGAGTCCACGGCTGGCTGCCCAATCATCACTTTGTTTCTTGGGGTCCTGAACATTTAATCTTCCTAAGGGTTGCATCCTGAGAGGAGGGAGATTTCACTGGAGGGAAGAGTCCAGACCCACCATGGAGTGCAAAAAGGAAGCAAAAAATGTGGGGAGGGGGAAACTGAGGCTCCCTTCCCCCAGCCGGCCTCGGGGACTGAGCTCTCCCTCTGGCAACAGCTAATAAAGCGGAGTCCTAAATAAGCATTTGATTAACAAATGCTAAAGCGGCGATTGTGTCACTGCGCCGAGCTGTAATTGCTGCTGATAATTGGCTGCTTAGAATTTAATAAGCAATTAAACAGAATGGAATGCAGGGGAATTAACGCTGAGCCTGCTCCCCGCCCACCTGCACACTTTCCACCTGCTCCCCACAAACCCTGCTCCCCACATGCTCCACACCCACTCTCTTGCTTCCAATGGGCTCCCCACAGTTCCTGTCTTAACCTGCAAGCGTCCCACATGTTCCCCTTGTTTCAGAATTCCCACATGCTCCAGAAGGAATTGGGAACCTGTCAGCAGAGTGATTTCCCTCACATTCCTGTCAGGCTTCTGATACTTTCTTTCCACCTACACGCTTCCTACAAGTTCTCCATGCCAGACTTCCCACA